AAAAGAATAGCAAAAAGTTTTGCTTTAAAGAAGCAAAGTTAAAGTTTAATTTGTATATTAAATATATTGATAGATTGATAGATAGAGAGTTGTTAACTTGGATTTATCTAATATCCATAAATCATTAAAAAGTGTCCAGATTAATAAGAGAGCTATTAGTATAGAAAGAAATAGTAGATTGATTAAGATTGAAATTAGTAATAGTTTATAAGTTGTCAGTAAGTTAACAAGATTAGAAAACAAAAGATAATTAGTATAGATTAATAACTAGAAATAAAGAAAAAAAAATATATAAAAGATGCCAGACGGCTACAAAGTAAGCAGTATTAAGAAAGTTAATAAAAGGTTAAGAATTTTATTAGAATTAATTTAGCAAAATAGTTTTGTAGCAAAGTTAGTAGAAACAAAACATATATATTTGTTAGTAATTGTGTTAAAGTTAAAATGATAGCCTAGGCATTATATAGTAATTAATAATAGAATAAAGTAGAAATTAGAAAATTGTAACTAAAATAAGTAGTATCAGTAAGTAATAAAAATAAGTCTGGAAGGTGTATTGTGCTTTTTGGCTTTACTAATAATAATTTGATTATTAATAACTATAAGTAGCCAAGGTTTGGTATTAGAAATAAAATAACCAGTAATATAATAAAAGTAGTTAATAAAAAAAAGATTGAAATAATTGTATAAGATATATTAGTAAGAGTAACTAGTAGTAATATTTTTAAAAATAGTGAACTATAATAATGAAATGCCTTTTGAATCTAGAAGAAATATAATGTTAGTCAAACAAACAAAAGTTATTGTAAGTAATTAACTAATTAAAACAGAGTAGTTTGTTGTATCTGAGTTGTTTTTTGAGAATAGAATATTTAAGTAAGAGAATAAAAAAGATTCAAAAGAAATAGTTTCATCATTTAAAGTATATGAAATGTTATAGATAGGGCTAGTTAAAATAGATCATCTAATGTGTTTGATAAGCTAAATAATGTTAAAGTTTGTAGTTAGATAATTAGAGTCATTAATAAGTAGTTTAAGATGTATAATAATATTAGTAAGAAACTAGAAGTTGTTCTAAAGTTGTTAAATATAAATGCAAGTGAATATGCCCAACAGGTTAGTATTGTTAAGTTATTTAAGAAGGTTGAAGATGTAATATTGTGACTAGATATTTCAAATATATTTGATGTTATAAATTTGTAAATATAAAAAAATACTAAAAAGTATAGTATAACAAAGCATTACAAGACTAATATGCTAAATAAAAAATTTGTTACTTGTATTTTAATTAATAATAAGATTATAAAGATAGTATTTCAAAATAAAAATAATAACAATATTAATAATTAGATTTAGGTTACAGATTATATGTTTGAGTTTTTATTCTTCATATGTAATTTAAAAGCAAGCTTTTCTTTGTAAAAACTTTAATTAAATTTTAATAAAGTTAAAGGCAAGTTCTTACTGTTAATATTTAAAAAAAACAATATTGACAATATAGAAGGTTTGAGTATTAGTGATGTGCTTGGTTTTTGCAATCTAAATAAGTTAAAAAGATTCTGAAAAGATTAGCTTAATTTGTTTAGATTGCTTATTGTCTAAAGTGAACTAGTAATTAAAGAATTTAAAAAGTTGATTAAAGGAGTGCAAAAGAAGAAAGTAGTTGTTGTAAAAAATAGAAGTATAATTAGAAGAAGGATTATTAGTACTATAATTTATTATATCTAACTTTTATACTTTATAATATTTACAACCCATTTTATACTCTAAATCTTAAAAATTTTTCTCTAGAATTATCTACTTGTTACAGTATTTATATAATTTGTTATGCATATATTTAGAGATTGTACCCGTTAAGAGTTACCCGGGTAACCCGCATAACACCCATTAACTGGGTCATGACCCTTGCTACCCGGGTGACCCGTATTAGTTATCTATAAACTCATGCCACAGCTTGAGTAATTAATTTATAGTCAATATTTATTACAAAAAATAAATAAATAAATAAATAAATTGATAAATAAATAAGTTATTCGTCATGCAATTCATGATCACGTTTGCAAATCATCTTTAGCTAACTGAACCCGAGTTTATTGTGTTTTATGTCATAACACAAAGTGATAAAATCTATTATCTTTAATGGATAAGTGAATCCTACTCTGTACCCTATATAGACATTAAATTGTCAAAAACCACCAAGAAGGTAATCATGATACAGTCGACCCTTTCAGAATCGGTTTGCATGATGGACAGGTTTTGTATCAGCTTTATGAGGTTATCGAATTTGAAAACGTAGCAAACTATTAGATTTATATAACGTGAATGAACTTGGAGATTAATTTTTTATCAGATTTGAAAGGTTATCGGATCAGTTTTGAGAATGTCAATTGTAATGGTATTTACTGCTACTTTCATAATTCTTGGAACACCTGATAAAAATTGACCGAATGATTTTTCGGCTGATTCGATTAAGATTGTGATTTTAGCATAATAGATTCTATAACAGATAATAAATATTTTACTGTACGTACATAATTTAAAATCAGATGACTAATATAAATATTATAATATATACTACATATGCAATATAATACTTTCAAAGTATATTGGCTAGCAAATAATTGAAAAAATTTTTTTAGAAAACTTATCAATTCGAAATTGTTTATCACTTGGACGTTAGCACTTTTAAAGTTTCTTGGATGTATTAAAAAAACCTTAACATATTTTCGATAAATATTTTTTTGTTTTTAAAATCTTGAGTTAACAGTCGACAGATTCTTGATTATATCTAATTTTTTTTAGTATTATCACCTATTCGTGTAAAATGCTTTTTATAAAAATTTAGTTTATATCCAGAGCCTTCTTTATATGATTATCGGTTGGCAAGATAGTCTTTTTCATAAATTTTCATAAATTTTCATACTGTACAAACAAACACGCCAAACATATATTCAAACGAAAATTTAAATTACATGTAATACAAAAATATAATATAACGATCATGCCGAAATCAATAACTTAACCAGATCGGTTGAAAAATTATTTTGTCAATTTTTATTAGGTGTTTCAAGAATTATGAAAGTAGCAGTAATTACACAACCCGAAAGTAGTGTATTGTTACTAGTAGAAAAATTAAAATGGGGTCTCACAAATGTTATGGCAGAAATTGAACGATGGCAATGAGCATGCAAACATTGTAAAAAAATCGATTAGATATTGTTAAAATGAATTAGCGAATCAAACTTCGCTAATAATAAAGCATTGATTAAGTGACAATCATATTGTTTTTAACATAACTATGAAATATTATTTTATTATAAAACAAGTAGTTACCGACAAAATGTGCTTTTTAAAATATACATTGAATGTATAAAAACTGTAAATGCAATTTCACGCTGCAAGACAGAGTTTTTTCCAAATTAAATTCATTTATGGTTTTCGGATATTGAGAATCTTCTCACTTCACGGTTTTGATATTGCAAATCTTCACGCCGCAAGTAAATGTTTCTTCCCAATTGGATTCACTTTACAGTTTTAGGGTATTGTAAATCTGGTGATAGGCCATTAATTAAAATAAAATCTGGAAAACATGTAAGTTAATCCTTACAAGATCATTCTCACATATTTACATGTACGAATTCTTTTACCACACCTGCAGTATCTACTCATTAACAACTACAATCAATTATTCTTCTACCGGTTCAATATCCAATTATTTGGCCAAAGCAAATTACTAAAAGAATCAAATAGTATAATTATTTCCAAGCCTTGCCCAAAAAATCGAATGGCATGATTATTCCAAGCCTTGTCTAAAGAATCAAATAGTATAGTTATTTTCAAGCTTGCCTAAATAATCAAATGCTATGATTATTTCTAAGCCTTGCCTAAATATGCATTCAAAATCAACCAGCTTGTATAATTATGCAGGATCGAATAATATAATAATTAAATTAATCATCTCATAAACTAAATAGGTGAAGCATGCATTTAAAGCTAACTGATTTGATGCGAGAAGCATAATTCTGCAGGTTTAATGGTATCTAAATAAGTCGAATATGTATTCAAAGCCAACTGGTTCACATAATGCACAGATCGAATGGCATGATAATTAACCAATTATTCTAACCATTAAATAAGTTAAACATGCATTCAAAAAGCCAACTGATTTGATGCAAGAAAAGTAATTTCATGGGTCAAATGGTATAGTAATTAAATAACTGTTCATAAGCCTGCCCAAGTAAGTCTAATATGTACTCAAAGCCAACCGGATCGATGCGAGAAGCATTGTTATTGTTGTATAATTAAAACTGTATTGTTATTGAGAAGGCATGATTGTAATAAGAATTAGATCGTGAAAAAAAACAGAATGTAGATATTTTAAAAAATGTATTTAAACTATGCTTTTTGACTTGAATAAAGCTTCAGAATTTAATTCTGAAATCTAAATAATTATTTAAATATCTTTACTTTTATAAATCTGCCTCTAAATATTTACTGCTATCACATATTTATTAGTTAAATCATTCTCACCATTGATCATATATCATAATTACATAATAATTAACAAAACCGACTTATAACCCTTACACTACTTTGCACATTTAAATCGTCTCTTATACAGTACTATAACTTTTAAACAAAAAATGGAATCTCAGTCTAGTTCAAGTTTTCAAGAAACTGCATATTCTGATGAAAGCTATAGTGATAGTGATAATAATAATAATATAACTCCTTCTACAAACGCGTTGATTAGCAATAAAAAAAAGAGGAGTAAAAAAAATAAATCAAGTTTTGTGTAGAAGTATTTTAAAGAAATTGGAACAGAAGATGTGTGTCAAGTTATAATTAAAAAAAATGGTGTAGACAAAAAGTGCGAAAAAAGCTATATTCACGATAATTCAACATCAAATATGATCGCTCATCTACGATCTCATAATATCGTGGATAGCAAAAAGTTAAAATCTGAACAACAACAAAAATGACAAGCTACATTACCAATGATGATCAAATCTAATACTACTACTCCATATAAAAGTGAAAGACAAAAAGAAATAGTCAAAGGAGTTATTGAATGGATTCTTCTGGATAATGAACCTTTATCAGCACCAAGAAAAAAGGGGTTTCGTCGTATGATGGCAATAATTGATCCAAAGTTTCGTCCACCTTCTAACAAGCTAATAAAAAATGAAATATTATTAAATTATCTAAAAAATACAGATGCCCTTAAACAAAAAATCGCAGCATCTTGTGAGACTGCTATGTTAACAGCAGATTTATGGACTTCGCGTAACAACCAAGATTATATTGGGGTTACTTGTCACTGGATAACTCCTAACTGGTCTCTTCGTAGCATGTTATTATGTTGTGAAAAAATGTTATATCCACATACTGCTGAGTCCATTCATCAATTTCTTATTAACAAATGCACAGAATTCAATCTTGAAAATAAGATTGTGTGTGCTGTTACTGATAATGGCTCCAATATGGTAAAGGCCATTAGGTTGTAGAATACCATTGTCTGACTCCCGTGTGCTGCACACACCTTACAATTAACAGTTAATTTTGCTCTTCAAAAAATTCGCTCACAAACAAAAAAAATAAAAAAATTAGTTGGTTTTTTTAATTCATCAAAGCAACAAGAAAGATTAGAGAAAGCCCAAATAAGAGTTATGGAAAGGGATAAATTACCATATTCTAGCTCAGTTCATGCTGAAACTTATGTTGAAGTTTACCTTAAAGATGAGGAGGTTGGTGAAATTGATGATGGAAGTAATACAGAATCAGAAAAACAATTAAATATAAATACTACACCTAAACCCCTTCGTCCAATTAAAGACTGTCCTACACAGTAGAATTCTAAATATCGGTCTTGGGAAAGATTGTTAAAATTAAAAGATGCAATTATATAGTTAGAGGTAAATTTAAACATTTCATGGAATTCAGATGACAGAAAAGATGGGCAAAAACTTAAACGATACTTGCCTAATGAAGATGAATGGAAATTAATCGAAGAATTAGTTAAAACTTTTGAACAATTTGATCATGCAATGGAAACATTTAGTGCTGAAAAGTATCCTACATTATCAGTCGTATATCTTATCATTGAACTCTTGAAATTCCAATTCGTGGTAGATCCAAACCTTCCCTTAGTTAATGATGTTTATGATCTAGATAATGAATATGGTATGTACTTTTTTTTTCTTCAAAAGATAAATAATAAATAAATAAATAAATAAATAAATAAATAAAGTAATAATAATAATAATAATGAAAATAAAAGAGAAAAAAATAAATAAATAATAAAAAAAAAAAATAAATAAATAATAAAAAAAAAAAAATAAATAAATAATAAAAAAAAATAAATAAATAAATAATAAAAAAATAAATAAATAAATAAATAATAATAAAAATAAATAAATAAATAATAAAAATAAAAATTGTATAATTTTTTTCATATTAATAAAATATTAATATTAATTCTTATTTTCAGAGTCAAATATAGACAGTGATAGCGAAGATGAAGAGAATTATACTCAAGATACACTTAACATTCAATCAACAATTGCTCAAGTTAAGTGAGCAATTTACAATTCACTTTGGAAATATTGAGGAAATCCAATATTCACTGGTCTTATAGCAACCTTACTAGATCTAAGGCTCAAGAAAATGCACCCTTGGTCTGAAGAGCTATGGAAAGAAACAATTAGAATATGCCATAAAGAATTAAACAATATTATTGACGAAACACCCACACAATCAACACCTTCCAATGTAGCTTCAACTAATCGTTACTTCGCTTCAATATTTGATGATGAGGATAATAATGATAATAATTCATCTACTGATGAATTAGATAAATATTTAAACATGCCTATCGCCTCAAAAACAAAATTACCCTTAGACTGGTGGAAAGAGCGAGAAAAAGACCTTTCAAATTTGAGCAAATTGGCAAAAAAATATTTATCTATACCAGCTACTTCAGTGCCAAGTGAATGATTATTTTCTGATGCGGGGAACCAAGTAACTCCTAAACAAACTCGCCTTAATCCAGAAACTATTTCACAAATATTGTTTCTAAAAAGAAATAATAACATAATTAGCACTACATAATATATTTTTTATAATCTTACTTTGATATAGATCTTTTCACTTGTATTTCATACAACTACAATAAAAAATTTTTTATAACTTACAAAGGTCACTATTATGAAATATAAAATGGGTTATAAAAGAACTGGGTAACTTCTTCATAAATGGAATGTTTAAGATCGTAACATTTCACTAAAAAAAAGTACATATTGATTAGTAAAAGTTTGAGAAACATAGTATAAAAACATTAAACTTCACAATGCGAAAGATTTCAAAAGCCAATATGCCAAATATTCCATTATTTCTGTACGTAGTTTTTAAATGCTGAAATCAAATGATCAAGGGGTTCAAAGATCCAAGAAAGCTTGAAGATCTTGTTTAGCACGTCTTAAATTCATGATCTTAATACCTGTAAATTAAAAAAATAAAATATAAGTATAACAAATACAATCCAAAGGCCGTAATAAGCAAAAAAATAAGCCATATGATGTATGTTGATCATTGCTCAATTTTAAATTGGTTACAGTTAGAACTCCATAAACATGCACTTCTTAAATACAAGGACTAAGTAAAAACTCTCTAAATGCACGGCATAGTTTTGCCCCAGCTCATAAGAGTTAAATATAATTTATAAATGCACACACTTTTCAAGTGCACTATTTTAAAATTTTTCTGACAGCAGTGCATTTTTTGCTGTGAATAACCGGGTCAACTGGGTTACCCAGGTTACCCGGTTGGTAACCCGGTAATGATTTTGTATACGGGCGGGTAACCCGGAGTTAAAATTTTTGACGGGTACAATCTCTACATATATTTATGCACTATAGATTATACAAACTGATTTTAAAGTGAAACAAAATCTTTAACCAAATTAATTAATAAGTTACTTAGTTATATATTAACAATAATCAAAAAATCTCAAACTTTTTACATAGCTTTCAATCTTCTGCTCTTAAATTTTTTAGAATTAAAATTCTACTTGATGATCTTCCTATTCTATACTTCTATACAAGCAATATTATTTATATCTACTAACTTGTTACTAATGCTATAAAACCAGTTTTCATCTTTATTAGATAATATATTTATCTGACCAGCTGTTATATAATCTTATCAACAGTTCATTACAATATACTCTAAATACAAATATACTTGATACTATTTCTAAAATTATAACAAAACTATATCATCAAATTAGACAACTGTATTGTATAACTACACACAATACAGTAGACCTATCATCAATTTTTTCAATCTTATTAAGCTTAATACCAAATAAAATTTTTTTTTGAATCTATTATCCAAAAAAATAACTATAATATTCTTTATTAAAGTTTTACTTTTTTTTATTTTTTTTTTTTTTACTAAGACTAATATTATTAGTAGTTACTACTTTTATTTATATTTTAGCCAATGCATTACATATGACTTATACAAGATAAATGTGCAACTAGTTATATATGTAACTTTTAGTTACTTAATTTAAGTAGTTTGCCTAAAGATTCTATATTAGCTGCTATATTTATAACCTACTAGAAGAGTATTTATTTAAATACTCTAATTTTTATACTGCATTCAGACAAGTAGTATCTGGTTTCTATATAACTAGATGCTATCTAACCCAACATTTGGTCTTTTTTTTGAATATCTGTTAGGCTATTATATATTTTAAAGCATGTCACCTAACTGTATAAAAACCAGAATGTTCTTTGTTAACTACCTATCTACTTTATAAAATATTAACAAAACTAGCCTTTGTAGACTTTATTTAAACTTTAGTATCTACTTTATAGCATATTTTTAGTATTTATAGTATACCTTTGTTTTGACTTCAGACTTCTAATTTAGATAACCTAATAGAACTGTAATCTGCTTTTAATATATTAAATTAGCCCAATATCCTTTTTCTTTAGTTTGATTCTGATAGCCTAGTTGGTGATACTCCTTATTTTAAGGTTTTTGGTTATCTGGTTTCTTTATATTGGTATTTGTTTCTTAGGTCTAGCCTTTACAATAATATTATTAAAGATCTATGTTATTTTTTTACTTGAGTCTTCTTAGTTTTTCCTAGTTCTATATATTTATATAATTATGAGAACTTATTTTAGATTTGCACTGTCTGATACTGGTTTGTATTTCTTTGTATAAACAAAATTATATAAATGTTTTATAATCTACTAGTTACAAATATTTTATTTTATCTAATTAACAAAAAAATTATTGCTGTAATATATAAGTATTATATAAGTGATTATCTAAATTTTTGTCATTAATAGGTTTTGAACTCATAATCTATCACTTGAGAAATTGACAACTTATCTATTTTACTAAATCATCACACCTTTTTTACTTTATCTTAACTAACAAATATATTATAAAATTTGAATTTCTTATTGTATTTTAAGATTAACAACTTATTTTTTTACTTTTAACTTATTTTTTAATTTTAACTTAATTTTTTTTTCTAATTTAATTTGTTTCAAAATTAATTCCTAATATATACAATAGATCAAATATTAAACTAACCTCTTATCCTTTAAACTGTAGACCATTTCTAGACAAATTTGTCTGAAAAATTAATAAAAATATACTTATGATCTATATTTTTTAAATTTTAAAATATTTAAATAAAATTTTGTTTAATAATATTTAAAAATAAAGATTATAATATAGTAATATTTAATAACTCTTTCCGCTAATCCTTTTTTACAAATTTAGTCAGAATACAAAATCATAAATAACTCAACAAACAGTATAAAAAACATACAGAAAAGCATTAAGAAAAAAGAAGCAGATAGGAAAGCACATAAGTAGAATATAAAGTTGTAGCAAAAGAAGTAAACCAAAAAATATAGCAGCAGTTTTCATTGAAAATAAAGAAAAATTTGGAAAAAATTGGAATTTTTTGGAGAACTACAGTTGACTCGAAAAAGAATAAACAACTATATATGACCAGTTATCTGAGCAAACAACAAGTAAACAAACACAACATGTACAAATTTGAAAATAAACAATATGTATAACAAAATAAACAAAGAAACAGGAATAGAACTAGATATACAAAGTAGACTAAAACAAGATTTGGGGAATATAGAAGCTACACAAATACAGAGTTTACTTAGATATGTTAGCAATTATAGAGCAAAAGTAATAAGATATACAGATAGTAAAGAAATTATTAAAGTTTTAGATACAACAAAACCAACAAGCCCAGATGATATAGAGTTAATGCAAAAAGCTTAGTAGTAAAAGATGTAGACAGAATCATAGTATATGATTTGCTTCTATATGGTCAAATAATAACAGCACTTAGAAAAGTGAATAGCATAGAATTACAAAACAAAAACATAAAAGAATGTGCTAAAAAAATCAGAAACATGAGCCTGAACCCAAAATTAGTTGAATTTCTTTTAAACATGAAGTCAAAAGAGAATTCTGTAAATGAAGACAAGATGCAAGAAATAGAAATCATAACAAGTAACAAGGATGCTAAAGTGGAAGGTAGTAAAAGAAAAAGACAACAACTAGAAGAAGAAGAAGAAAAAAAAAAAGAAGAATCAAGAGAAAAGAAAGAAAAAGCTATTGATAAAACAGAAAGACAAGAAAAGAAAAAGTCGCAAACTAAAAAGTTAGAAGAACAACCACAGTATAAAGAAGATACAAATATTATACTAGACTATAGTATATAGGCCTTAACAAAGAAAGAATGCAGCAACAACAGCTTATACAAAACCAAAATACCAATTAGCAATTTAAAAGAAACACAGTACAAGAAAGACTGCAATATATAAAGACTGTACTAGGAGAAAACAAGCATATAAAGTCAGTTAAAGAAAAAGTAACAAAAGGAAACAAATGGATGGAATTAGATTTTGATTGTATTAGCAGCAAAGAAGCAGCAATAAAAGAACTTTACAAGAAAGATATAACAATAACAGAAGCTACAAAAGAAGGAAAGACAAGAACAGAATGATATGTAAAAACAAAAGCATTATACAATAATCAAGAAAAGAAAAGAAATGTCACAACAAAAGTGTCTAATGGAAAGAATAAAGGAAAAGAAGTAGAAAAAGAAAGAACAGACAAATTTCTAACAATCTGGAACCTTTCAGCAAATATAAAAGAGGAAAAAATCAAATTTATATACAAAAATATATGAGATGCACAAGTGGTTAAAATCAAAAGAACAAGATTCAAGACTTTAGCAAAAATACAATCCATATTCTTAAAAAAAGATAAAGCTTCATGGGCACTTCCATTTGGTAACAACAATCTAGTATGGGTAACATGAGGGTATAAAGACCATATGCAGAAAAAGAACCAAAAACAACATATTGTGAAACTAATAGGTTTAGCAAGAGGAGCCTCTAAGGTCCTATTGATAAGATGTCTAAAAAACAAGAGAGCAAAAGCAGTACACATATCCCCAAACAGAAATGAAAACCCAAGAAGCATAACAACAGTCATCTTTGCAAATAATGCAGATTTAAAGAAAGCAATAAGCAAACCAATAAGATATTACAACTATATACTATACTGAAAGTCAAGAGAAGAAGCAGCGATAGAATATACAAACTCTGAAGAAACAAACAAAGACAGATATAATTTACAAAAACAAGAAGAAAAGAAGTCAGAAACCATAGAAGGCCAAGGAACAAACAAGAAACTAAAGCAAAAAGAAA